CTGCGGTCCCTCCCCGGCCAGCTCGAGACTGTGCAAGATAGCTCTAATCGGGACTGGGTGAGAACATGCCCTCAACAAATCCGGTTTTGGCCTGATCCCTGCAGACCAGGCCAAGGGACTCCACCAGTGCATGAATCCATGCACAGGGCCTTGAGTAAATAAATAAAAGGTTTTAAAAATATACTTTTTCTACAGACAACAGAAGACATTGCTTTACACACATATTTGCTAGAGCTCAATCTAGACTTGGTACCATCCACCAGCTTCAATGCAGAGCTGAAGCAGGTATAAGACTATGGGAAAACCATGCAGAAAGGCATATACCTGACCGTACTAGCTTAGTTCTCCCCAGAATGTTATCCCTAAGTTATGACTTAATATTTATTGGCTTTGCTCTGAAAAGGAAGTTTTCACATTCCCTGTGAAGTCAGTTGAAGATTATGAGTAGTTCTAGAAGTGCCTCCTGAGAACTTGCTGATAAGGGAAATAAGGTACTTCTCAAATAAAACTTACTATGTCAAAACGTGTTTGTGGAGAAGAAAGGGAGGGAGGAGAGACAGATGATTGATAGTTAGGTAGGTAGGTAGGTAGATAGAGGGGGTGTGCTAAGAACCAGAATGTAATATATATGTATAAATTGAGTAAAATAATGTGTCAGTTAGGATTCAGTTAAATACAATGTGTATCTAGGAAATACTACTCACTCTGGCCAATTGGGAGTGGTCTATGCTAAAGAAAAGTGGATACTTAATCAAGCATCAGCAAATGACTAAAATGTTTCTCCCAATTACTCATCTCACATCAATTCCATGCTCATCTACCAAGAGAGGATGTGTTGTTGTTTGGATGTAAGCATTCTAGTTACTGGAATATTTTCTATGGTAACTCCAACACGATAAAGTGATTTTTTATGTATTCATGATATCAGACACATATAATCTTAGTAGATATCAATAAGGTTCAATTACTGCCAAGGGCCACTCAGCTACAAATTCCTAGACCAAGTTCTGAAAGGACAGGGACTGCCTTCTTCAAACCTAGGAGATCAGTATCTGTGATCTACTGCCTGGAATATGTAGGAGCTCCAATGTTTGCCGAGTGGAATGAATAAACGATGTACACACAAAGCTAATTCACTTTGAGACTTCTCCGAAGCCAACCTGACTTCCCCTGGAGACCTCAGATTCTGTCTCCTTGCATATAACTTCCTATTAAATTTTAGCAAAGACATTTGTTCATTGTTAACATTCTTTTCATAAGAATTCACAGTGTAACTTCCTTCTAAATTTTAATGCCAGAAAAAACACTTGAGTGTTTCCTTTTATCAAATGTAAAAACTTCATGATCCCTCAGTCTCCTTTTTGTCTCGGCTACCAGGAAATTCAGACATATTTACATATAATTGCGATTATTTCATCTTCTGATAAAATTTCCCCTTTAAATGATACCCTGATCTTTGCATCTTTAATACCTGTTACATTCTAATATATTGCTATTTCTAAGTGTATCCATTTTAAATATCTACTGATTTCTTGTAATTTTGTTTGCTTGACAGATTCCCAGTGGTTCCCCCCTTACCCCATCTCCCAACACGGTTCTATTACTATTTTTGATACAGCATTACTTTTACTTCATAACTTTAATATGCTCATACCTTTTACTTTGCTTCCTCTACCAGAGACAGTATCTCTTGATTTCTCTCTTCACGACTCCCCTCACCTATCCCACATTAAGGGAGGCTATTAATACCCTTTTCCCGTCTTCCACCCACTCCAACCATCCAATTTGTATCAACTGTCATTACATTGTCAAGGCTGATACTTGCATTCAGTGCTATAATCAATGTGTACTGTGTCCTATGGATTAATTCTAAGATAGTGTATTTACTGTAACTGTGAATGTACCATTAACTGAAGAACTCAGCAGTACACCCAGAAGACATTCTTTTCTTGCAGCTTGTTTTCCTGGAGCTCCTGCTTTGCTTATCCTTTCTTCTTCTTTTTTTTTTTCCCAGTGCAATATGCATCTGCATTGTCTTTGGAATAGTGGCACTATGACAGAATAGTGCCAGTTCTAGGATCTCATTTTGCCAGTAGCTTGTTGCATAGCTGAAGAAATTAATCACTGTTTGAAGTTTGCATAGAACATGAGGGTCTTGACCTTTTGAAAAGCCATCACTATGAACAATCTCTAAATTAGACATTTTAGAGGACTTCAAAGGAAATATGTTCTTCATTAGTGGAAGTCATAACACTTAAATCAGCTTCATGAAAATAAAAAGTTAAAGCCATTCATTATGACCATGAAGGAAAAAACAAACAAAACTTGGTTAGAATAAAAGCAAACTTCTTGATAGGCAGAAAACAAATGTTTAAATCTAAGTAGAAAAGATATATTTTATAAATACAAGAGGCAAAATGAAAGCCTAAGAGGTTGGTCTGACAAAAACAATCATTCCTAGAAGTAATGAAACGTACATGTAGTGTTCAAGATAAATATGGTAATACTTCTACACTTCTGGGTAGCAAAATAAATCTTGAAACAGGCTAAGTACACATTCCCTTTCATCTAAATGCAGTTTATATAGGCTTAGACCATGTAACCAGACTTAAAGCATCTAACTAACAACTTCCCCTCTCCATTGAGGGCCTTCCATGTACAAGGAGATATACTAGGCACCAGGGATGAGGGTGAAGAAACAGATGTGTTCAAGGACTTGCAGGCATGAGAGGAGGCAGGAAAGAAACCATAAATCACAACACTGTACAGGTGCCCAACGAGTAGGAGAGAGCACCTAACTTTGCCTGGGAGACTTAGAGGCACAGGATCTGAGGAGTTAATGTTAAGGTTGTGATCTGAAGAAAAAAGGTTTTCTTAGGAGACAAAAGGAAAGGCAGAGTATCACAGGCAGAAGGAACAGTCCAACAGGGTGGGGCTGTGAGAAATCAGAGCCATTTGGATAATGATGAGACATTTGTTAGTTTGGCTCATATATAAGGATTGTGAAGGTGGCAGAGAAGGCTGGATAGTCAGGTAAGAAAAACACCAAAAAGACCTTATACATGATGTGATAGCTTACAGATCTCATTCTGAAATAACTGAAAGCTTGTCACAGCAAAGGAATGAAATACTCTATTTGGATTTTCATCACTGAGGAAAAGAGTGAAAGGACTTGGGACTTGACAGAAGGTCCAGTGAGGAAGTTTAAGAACTAGTGTGTATTAGTCTGCTTGAGCTGCCATAACAAAATACCACAGACTGATGGCTTAAACAACAGACATTTATTTTCTCACAGCTCTGGAGGCCAGAAGTCCATGATCCATTTGCCGGCAGGGTCGGATTTTTCCAGAGGGCTTTCTCCTTCACTTGTTGAGGGCCATCTTCTCACTGTGTCCTCAACATGGTCTTTTCTCCATGTACACACATCACTGATGTATCTTCCTCTTCATATAAAGGTATCAGGCATATTGGATTAGGACCCTGTCGAATGGCCTTATTTTACCTTAATTACCTTTTTAAAAGCCCTATTTCCAAGTGTAGTCATAGTCTCAGGTGCTGGGGGTTATGGCTTCAACATAAGAATTCTGGGGGGACGCAATTCAGTTTATAACACAATGAGTGGCAGTAAAAATGGAGAAGAGGGGACAAATGGAAGGACGGTTAAGAAGTAGAAATCAATATGACTTGGTTGATTGGTGAGTCAAGCATGCACAGCACATAAGAAGGTCTCCTTGATTTTTGGTTTAGGTAAGCAGGTATGTGCTGATACCATGTGTCAAAAAAAAAAAAAAGACTATAGAAGGCGGCTTGGTATGCTCAGAAAAGTGAAACATTCAACTTTCAACATGTTACAATTGAAATAGCAATTTCTAGTTAATAGGGGAAATAAGTTTGGAGCTTATAAAGAATAATATAGATGGAAACCAAGGGTATATGTGATTGTCCAGAAAGAAAATGTAAAATAAGAGCAGCAGGGAATGTAATCTTGAATAACATTAAAGGGTACATAAAGAAGCCAGACCTGAAGGCTGTGAAGGTGTATCTATTCTAGAGAGACAAAGAGGAACCTGGAGAGTATTATGCCAAGCAAAATAAGCCAGTCAGAGAAAGACAAGTATCCCATGATCTCACTTAAATATGGAATCTAATGAGCAAAAGAAACTGATGGACAAAACAGATCCAGAGACACAGAAGCATGGAACAGACTGTAAAATCTTAGAGGGAAGGCAGAGGGTGAGTGGATGGGAAAAGAGCCATCAAAGAACTTGTATGCTATAGGCATAACCCAAGGATACAGACAATAGGGTGGTGAAGGCCTGGGGCAGAGCGGGGAGGGTGTAGGCTGTGTGAGCAGGTTATAAAGGGTCCATGGAGAAAGAAAAGGAGACATATATAGCACTTTCAACAATAAAGATTTAAAATAAAAAAAGAATCGGAACAGAGCAATGTGCCACAAAAATTAAGGGAGAGAAGAATTAAGTGGGAGATGGTTGTTAATTCCTAGTTATTTTTTCAGAAATGCAATGGTATTTTATTTCAAGCATCATATGTGCTTTTCATGAATCCTAATTTGCTGAAGTTAGTAAACTTAGCTTTCATTTATGATTTCTCACTATCTAGAATGTATTCAAAATACTTTATTGATATTATATAGCTTTCCTTATGTCTTTTGCAAATTCTAAATCTTTAGGATAAAAAAAGCCAAATTATGATGCCATATCTTAAACTAATCAGTAGGTGGATTATTTTCAGGATTAATTATTCTTGCCAATACTCCTGTTTATGTTGAGATACAAATTTTGAGGGTAGCTACCTACAACAATGTATAGGCCTTAAATACTGTAAATGTGATAATAAGATATATAATGAATATCTGAACAATAACAATATAACACACTTTGGAATGCCATGGTCTTAGAGCATCAAGTAGCTTGAAATCTGTACATAAAATCTATCTGAATGGCACTGGTGATTTAATGTGGAAAACAGGAAACAAGATGCATAGGGGAATAACATTTATTTATTGGCTATATTATGAATACTATTTTCAGACAATCAGATATGGACACTTTAAAATTTCACATTGCTTTAGAGATCCAAAGGCACAGACACAGTGATTTATCATGTTTTTAAAAAGTGACAAAAGAGGATATTAATTCTGGATGATTTTTAATCAATTTAACACTATTATACACTAGAGAAAAAAATTCCACAAACATACCCTCACAAAGCCGGTAGTTTTATATTTACATAGTGTTATTATAGCAATTTTAAATGTTAATCTATGATACAATGTTACTTCAGAAAACATAAAAAATATAGTTTTTTAAATAGCCATGCTCCCATTTTTTTTATGAAAGATATTCAGTTTATCCTAACACTTCAAAAATGCATGAGATATTGCAGTCAGCTTTATAAAATCTTTAAGACAGAAGGCTGTCAGATGGAATAGGCAGAGGGCTCATCATCACTTATGTCTGAATCATCTTCATCAACTCCTTCAATCACTGATTTCTTCCCTTTACAACAGGATACAATTAATCCAATTAAGAATACCTGTAAATTTCAATGAACTATGTTATTTCTCAAATCCAAAGTCATTCAGAAAATAATAAATTTAAAATCCAATGGCACTACTGTGATACAAACGGACCATTAAGGGTCAAAACATCCCTGGGATCCCCATACTTACCCCAAGGAAGACCCAGTTACCGAAATAGTACACAGCACTGAAGAACCAGAACTTGTGAAGGAACAGATATGTCCGGGTGACAGTGCACTGATCTATAAGAGCAAATAAAAACTACTGTGAGATAATTTCTCTCTTGATGTGGACTATTAATACTATATTTTAAAAGTTATTAAACAAAACTAATGACCAAAGTCAGAAAGTCAATAAATATTTAGGGACAGGACTGAAATCTACATCTGTCTCTAAAATTCAGTTTCAATTCCCTACTATAACTTAAATTACCAACTAATATGATGTATTTTTAAAAATGAATGCCACCAATTTAATCCTGGCTATTAAGTATTAAAAACATTATATTGGCTAGTTCAATTTATTTGAAATATAAAAAGGATTTTAACCAGGCGTGTTAGACACGTTCTAAAACAAGACAGATAAAGTTTTCCTGATGAACATTTAAAAAATGAACAATGTAATCAGATGTGATTAGTATTATGCTACACTTTTCTAAGAATCCAATTATCAGGAGAGCCCAAACTTGAGAGGTTCTTTGAGCTGTTTTTTTTTTTTTTTTTTTTTCTAAGAATGCTATTGAAAAGATGGCTGCTGCTTCTAAAAAATACAAAAAATCATTTTATACTGATATGCTTACTATTTGAACTTTAGATACCATTATAGCTTGAATTAAAAATAAATCATATACTTTTCTCTTTCCAAAAAAATATAACTCTTAAGGGAAAAGTGGCAGACTGGTTATTTGCTGTTTGTGTCAGATGCCATAGTGGTTTTACCCAAATACATTATTTCTACTAGGTTAACAAGTCCTCTATATATCTTGACATATACCTAGTAAATGATGTCTAAGAAAATACTTATTAAAACCATTCAGAAAGGTCTGGGTGACACAATATAATGTAACTGATTGAAAATTATATATGCTGCAGTTAATATAGAATACCAACCTCACAAATTTCAGAAGGCCTTTATTCATTACAGCAGAAAATCCTAACTTACAAGGCAAGTTCTTTTTACACAAACAGTTATGATTTCCACATATTTTTATTCAAAATGGACAGTGGCAAAAAATTCTACATGCAATTAAGAGACCAATATCACATCCTATTGCTGATTAAGAAAATGCACTGTTGATTTTTAATTTTATGAACTCTCTTCTTAGCTTCAATAAATAAGTGCTGTTTTTTTCTTAAAACTGTACTGGGAATTTTGTAGTCCAGTTTATTACACAAAGGATCTAATACACTTTTATTTTTTGGCTTTCATTTGGTTTTCTGAAACGTAGCATTTAGGTTGTATTTCATCAAAACATAGGGCCCGTTATGTAAAGCTTTAGATGTTAAGTAAATATTTAGATAATCTAACTCATATCTATTCTAACTCCTTCCACTGTGCTTCAACATTTACTTCTATTACTCAGTACCAAACTGTACAGAGCAGTCTCTTTTTCTGGCAGGAAAACATGCAGTTAATAGAGAAGCAACCTCTTCCTTTCATAAGCAAGGACCACAGATCGAATGCAGATCTACTGATCCCCCAAGAGCCTCCTTCATATTCTTTGCTCTTTCTCAACAGAAAAGCCTTTCTCAATATTCAAAGCCTCCTAAGGAAAACCAGAAAGACTTCATGCAGCAGTGGCTGGCCAGTTTCCTTTTTCTCCCATAGTTACTAGCACCCGAGATTATAGCTTTACACCCGAGATATAGCTTTACATCCAAGATATAGCTTTATACTGGAGTTCAGTCCAGCAGAGGAGATTCCTAGCTGGACATTCAGGAGTCACTTACCTGCTACCGTAACATTCTATTCTCACCTCTAGTACAGAACTCTTTTCACAGTAACATGTCACTTCAACTTACCACTTTTTCAATTAAATAAGCTTAAGTATTCAAAAGAACCTGTCAGAATACCTAGCATTCATATATAATGATTACTGAAGTAATCCAAATTTTTAAAAAAGGTTATTTTATTTTAAAAGCATATTACTAAATAATACATTTTTTAATTCTTTTGTCTAAAATCTAACAAGATTCCGAGGGTATCAAAACAAGATACTTGAATATGTTCTGAAAATGGAAGTATAAAATGTCCAGCATGGTGACGGAAAAGCCCAGACTGGTCTCTGACACACTTGGTGTCAAACATCATTTGGCCACTTCTCTGCCATGAATGGGCAAATCTAAACTGCTGATGCTGTGCTTGTTAAATGGGGTATGGCCATATTTCCTTGCAGTCATTCTAAAGACCAAATGAGGTACACTTGTCCTTTGGTAAACACAGAGGATTGGTTCCAGAATCCCCATGGATACCCAAATCTGGGATGCTTAAGCCACTTATATAAAACTAGAGGCCCAGTGCACAGAATTCATGCACTCGGTGTGTGTGTGGGGGTAGGGCGGCCCTCAGCCCGGCCTGTGCCCTCTTGCATTCCAGGAGCCCTAGGGGGATGTCCAACTGCCACGGAGGTGGGAGAGGCTCCTACCACCACTCCTGTGCTTGCCAGCCATGAGCCTGGCTTCTGGCTGAGCAGTGCTCCCCCTGTGGGAGCACACTGACCACCAGGGGGCAGCTCCTACATTGAGCGTCTGCTCCCTGGTGGTCAGTGCCAGTTGTTCTGCCGTTCGGTTGATTTGCGTATTAGCCTTTTAGTATATAGGATGGCATAGTATCTGCATGTAGCCTAGATTTGCACACAGGCTACAGCAGAGTATCTACACATCATGCCATTCACATGGATTCAGCAGAGTGCTCAGTGTGTGACAAATTCAAGTTTTGATTTTCAGAACTATCTGGGAATTTTTTTCAGTTATTTTTGATCTGCAGATGGTTGAATCCATGGATATGAAACCACAAATAAGGAAGGCTGACTATATATCAAAATCCCCATGCAAAGTGACAGTTAATATTTTCTTTTTTCCTTTCAAGGTATAACTGAACACATGATAAAAAAAACACAGTTCTCAAGAGCTGCTCAAATGGTACCAAGAAAAACAACTAATCTTAAGATTTTACAAGTATATGTCCAACAGAAGTATAAAAAAAATTGCTTAGATACCAGTATCATAACTATTCTGTACATGTTCATTATCTTTCTTTCTTTATAGTCAAAACAGATACAAAAGGATTTGGTGAAATTCAAATGTATATAATTTAGTAACAGACTAACTGCTAAATAGTTATATGCTTTTAAATAAAAATAACCATTGTGAATGTTTCAAAAATGAAGACAGGCTGGGCTTATCCAAAAATGCCTGTTCACAATTATTTTAAAATCAAGATCAGTATTTTCCATTGTTTAAGTGTTACATAAGTTCTGCTATCTATCTATCTATCTATCTATCTATCTATCTATCTATCTATCTATCTATCTATCTAAAAGCCTAAGTGACTGTTTGACCAGTAGCTATGATGCACACTGACCACCAGGGGGCAGACATTGAATGCACAGGCAAATATGGGACAGACTGATGAATTTCAGAGGGAAGGGGGTGGGAGAGGGAAGGAAGAGATTAACCAAAGATCTTATATGCATACTAGAGGCCTGGTGCACAGATTCTGGCCTATGGGGTTGGGCCCAAACTGGCAGTTTGACATCCCCTGAGGGGTCCCGGATTTTGAAAGGGCACAGGCCAGGCCGAGGGATCCCACCGGTGCATGAATCCATGCACTGGGCCTCTAGTACGAGTATAAACTTGTTTGAAAAATGTCCTTCAGCTTTCTCAACATACTCTAAACTTTAAAAACGAAAGTTTTATGACTGATTTCCATACTTAAAGATATTTTTGGAGTCAGAACTTAACTGAATTAGAAATTCAGGGCTAGAACAGGGATTACAAGACAGTGACTGAGCCGGCAGAAGCAAGTAAAATCAAATCACTTTTCCAGAGGTCTAATAAACCACTCAGTGACATTTTAAATTGGGTTATATCCACCAATTATTTTGCCCACCACAAAAACAAATCTTAAACATTTTTTCTATCACATCGTTTTTCTGTTACTTATTTACCATTTTTAAAGGTTGGAGATTTGATATACTCCTTCTAAAATAAGATTAAAAGGTGAAATCATTGTTAGCATTCTGCTTTGTTGTTGAAAAAGATGACCCTAGACCACAAATCTATACACACAATGTGTACCTAACAGCTCTTCATAGTTATCTTTATATGTACATACTAGAGGCCCTGCGCCCTCTTGCAATCCGGGACCCCTCAGGGGATGTCGGACTGCCGGTTTCTGCCCGATCCCCGCAGGCCAGGCCAAGGGACCCCACCGGTGCACGGGCACTGGGGCCTCTAGTATGCATATAATATCTTTGGTTAATCTCTTCCCGCCCTCCCTCACCCCCTTCCCTCTGAGATTCATCAGTCTATTCCATGTTTCCATGCCTGTGCGTTGAGCATCTGCCCCTTGGTGGTCAGTGTGCATCATAGCTGCCAGTCGAACGGTCGGATGGTTGCTTAGGCATATATATATACATATATATAAAATTTGTATTTATATTTAGTGGCATATATCCATAGAAGAATTTGGTTAATAAGTCCTATACACATATTTTATATTCCAGTGATGATTCCACACTAAATAAATGGGGGGGGGGGGTTCCCCTTCTTTCCATCATCCATCTTCCAGCTGCTCACCTAAATGATACATATCTAGTTCTATAGATGTCTTTCTACAGCTATCTAAAAAAAATTATGAGTATTTTGAACTTTGATCTTCAAAGTAAATTTAAGTTGCTGAATGTTTCATTTAGAGATTGTGTTCTAAAATCAGAAGTGTTCAGCAGACTTGTGACTGTTGTTCCACAAAAGAATACGCAAAAGTGCCAATTAAACTAAAGAGGGCCTGTTAATAATGAAAAACTAAAAATAGGGGCTCAGAGAAAAACCTAATGACAAGTGGCCATGCAAAAAAAAGTAATTCCCCCTCCCATCCACCCAGCCCCATCATGACCTTAAAATTTAAAGGATAGATGATCAAACAAAACACAGAACATGAAAATGTTAAGTATAGTAAATAGACACTGAAATCCAGACACTTTCATTAAAATTCTAAGTCTCATACTATCTGTGCAACTCAT